TCGACTGGCTTTTCGAGCAAGGGAACCTTTACCTTTTTTACATTCTTTTTACCTGCCGTGGGAAACATAGCTTCCAGCCTATTTATATGGCAGAACTGGTGCTGTCCTTGCAGAATATATAAATTTCAGGAATTAACTGAAAAGTCTGTTTTCAAAACAGCAACCATGCCAGTTTGGTGTAGTGGTTAAGAGCGGCAGACACTAATTTGGAGAACCAGGTTTCATTCTCCACTCCTTCACATGCAGCCAGCTGGGTGGATTTGGGTCAGTTACAGTTCTCTCAAGAGCAGTTCTCTCAGAGCTCTCTCAGCCCCACCTACCTCACAGGATGTCTGTTGTGGGGAGAGGAAGGGAAGGAGATTGTAAACTGCTCTGAGACTCCAAGTGATATAAATTGGTATAAATCCAATTTCTTCTTCTCAGTCTCCTCCTTCCTCTCCCTCTCCTTCTCCTCCTCCAATCAGAGAGAAATGAAAGGTGCATAAGCATCTTTAACTGCATCATCAGACTCTTCTTCAAAGCTTATAACTTTACAACCTAATTTGTCTGTGTGGAGTCCAGGAACAAAGGAAATTAGATATCCCTTCAGACTTCCCATGTTGAGACATTTCTATTCAGTCTGTGTTCCCATTTCACACACGCCCTGAACAATTACCTTTGCAAGATTTGCTACTGTAAGGACAGGTGGGGGCTTATGTCTCATGCAGGGGCTGCATTAGGTCTGCCGTAACAAATACCATATCTTCATGGAAGGCACCTGAAGTGGAAATCCATCATACCCTGAAAATCTTGTTGGTTTCTAAGGTGCTACTGGAATCTGTCTTACGGCACATCAACATGGCTACAATGTATTCAGTGCTGATGTTTTTTTCTTCATGGACCCACTGATATTTGACACTTCTGGCACATGATGTAGGTAAATATAGTGCTTTTCGTGAAACTAGACATCTAATGCCACCAAATCTATTGAGGCAAGCTCTTTAACCAGGATATGGTCCTATAATGGCACAGCCAGGCTGTGATAGGTGTGCCATTTCTCAATGTGCTCACTCTGGTTCTCTCATCAGACAAGGGTGAGCTGACATGTCCCAGGAGGCATGCGTGCTCCCATCATTATTGGGTCTACCCTTGGAGCCAGGACTGGTGGGAGAACTTTATACTGCAAGTGTGTTGTGATGAGCAGTAGATGTCCAGTTTTCAGATGACCTGACAGACTTTTATGGAAAGAATATCAGCCCTAAGAGATTGGCTACTGTGGGAAAGAACTGACAATGACGACAGTGCTGACAACAGCAGACTCACTCTACAATCTGCATTACTTTGGGCACGTGAGGAAGAAACCAACCAACCCTACACTGACTCCAGTTTGCCAAAATTAACAGGGCATGGAAGGAACGTAGAAAAGCCAAATCCACGGTTTGAGGCTTGACTGCGTGGGAAATCAGGACCAAGTCGTCTGTGCAGAAAAGGTCTGTGTTCAATGTGTGTTCAGTGCCAAGAGTGAATGTAGATATCAACATTTCCTTTTCTTTCCTCTTACCACAGAAGAGACTTTTTTATTTTTGCATCAGGATTCTTCCTGGATAATCTGCCTGATTTTGAAGTAGAGCTAACGTTCCAAATCTTGCAACCTCCCAGCCTTTTCAGCAGCATACTTATCCTTGCAAATTTTATGATACTTTGCCAGTTGCTTCACTAATGTTTGAAGTACTTTCTTTCCATCATCACTCCTTTGCATATCCTTTGGCAAACAATTGTATTCTGCAAAGGTAGGCACAATTTTTTTTTGCCTGGGGTCACGTGACTTTCAGAGTTAATGGTGACGTGGCAGTTCTGCTTCTTGTCCACTACATATGAAGAAGGTGTGGAGACTCTGTAGGGTCAGCACCACCAATACTTTTGATCTTTCATCTGTGGGTTATTGATTAGGGAAAGTATCCATTGGAATGAATAAAGAATAAAATAATCTGGTTAAAATGTCATTATTGCAGTGAGAATGACATTAGCACAGGTATAGAAACAGCAAGTAATCCCAGAAAAAGAAAACTGGTTAGGTACACGTGGCAACCCTGGGCCATCCCTGGGCCCACCGGCCTGAGGCCCTGGCAGGCCAGAACAGCCGGCCTGGGCCGTTCCCTCGGCGAGGCTCTCCCTGCCCCCAGCGGGCAGTGACAAGGCTCATTGGATTAAGAAAAAAGTGTTAGAGTGCATCTAAATGTAGTGACTAGGTTTAAACAGAGCCAGCATCAGCATGCCTGGAAGTGGGGCAGCTTTCAGGGCCCATGGCTTCTGGTGGGGCCACTCTGAGTCTTTACTCATGCACCTCTTCTGATGCCTGCGCTCACCCCCTTCCACTGCCTGTTTGTGCTTTGTCTCCTGTGCTCCCAGCTGCATATGCTGCCTAGCACTGCTGGAGATAGGGCTGCCAAGTGGGGGCGGGGGTGGGTAAACCCCGGCTTCGGAGGCCCGATTTCCGCCCCCGCGGAATCGGCCCCTGGGGGGAAATCCGCCCCTCGAAGCGCAGCGTGGCTGTGTCACCAGAGGTGACGCAACCACGTCAATCATGTGGGGGGCGTGGCCCCAATCGTCGGAGGGAAAAACCTATGGTTTTTCCTCCGACGATCGGGGCCACGCCTTCAACGTGATCGATGTTGTGCGTCACACATCGATGGATGGCTCCCAGAGCCCGGCGAGGCTCCCCCACCGGTAAGAAATATTGACTTAGCAACCCTAGCTCGAGAAGGGCACG